TATAGTCATGGCCAAACATATTGGCACTCCTGCATTTCTGTCAAGTAATGCACCATTTCTCCCAGGAAACTGTTGCAATCACAAATTCTTTGGTATTCTCCTGTTTATTTTATTTGCACTGGAACAACATAAAAGATCGGAGGAACAAGCCAAATTTGATACATTCCACAAAGAACTCCAAAAATGGACTGGACAGAATTATTGACACCCTCAACTCAGTGTTTGGCAGTATACCCGTTGGACAAAATAATGCAAATCAATATCTTCCTGTAACCATCAATGATTTTATTACAGCTCTACTGGGATTTTGGACCACTTTTTTGCCGACTGCTCCAGGTCTCTCAGATTTGAAGGGTTCCTTCTCCCATTTGCTGTTTTGAGATCTCTTCACAGGTGATCTATGGGATTTTGATCTGGACTAATTACTAGCCACTTAAGAACTCTCCATCGCATTGTCTGAAACCACTTCTGGGTGCTTTTTGAAATATGCTTTGGGTCACTGTCCTGCTTTAAGACCCATGACTCTGACGGAGACCCAAATTTTTCTCGCTGGGCCCTACATTGCACCCCAGAATTCATTGGTAGTCTTCAGATTTCATAATGCCATACACACAGTGAAGACATCCAGTGCATGAAGCAGCAAAGCAAGCCCAAAACATTAGTGAACCTCCACCATGTTTGTCTGTAGGGATGGTGTTCTTTTCTTTGAATGCCTCATTTCATTTTGTGAAAACCATAGAATGATGTGCTCTTCCACAAAACTCTACTGTAGTTCCATCTGTCCATAGGACATTCTTGCAGAAGGATTGTAGCTCCCCCATATAAGTTTTGGCTTATTTGTGTTTCTGTGTCAGCAGTGGGGTCCCCCTGTGTCTCCTACCATAGCCTCCCTTGTCATTCAGATGGCGACGGGTAGTGTGAGCTGACACTGTTGCACCCTGTGCCTGCAGGTCAGTTTCAATTTGATTAAAATTTAGTTCTTTATCTACCATTCGAGCAATCCTCTGTTGCAATCTGTCATTTACTCTTTTCTTTCATCCACGTCCGGGGAGACATTGCTCCCCCGACTTGGAATATCTGGCAGTGAAATGCAGACCTTTTGAAACGGTGAGAAAGATTTGCTCAATCCTGATTGTAGCCGTCTATATACCACCACGAGCTAACGCTAAAGGAGGAGGAGGAGCTGTACTGCCTGATCAGCAGGCAGATGAATGCAAACCCAGAAGCAGCTGTGATTGTGGCTGGTGACTTTAACCATGTGGAACTTAAAGCAGTGTTTCCCAGATTCTATAGATTCATCAATTTTCCAACCAGGGACAAAACATCCTGGATCAGGTTTATTGCAATATCCAGGGAGCATACAAGGCCATAGCAGCTCCACACCTGGGCATGTCAGATCACATCTCTGTGGAGCTGATCCCAGCATATAAACAGTTAAGGTGTGGACGGAGGAGGCTTCTTCAGCATTACAGGACTGTTTTGAGCATACTGACTGGGGGGTGTTCAAAGAAGGCTCAGACTTGGAGGCTTATATATCAGCTGTTCTGGACTATGTGCAGTTCTGTACTGATGCTGTCCTACCTACAGATTCCATCAGGGTTTTTCCAAACCTTAAACCTTGGTTGGACAATACAGTGCCACCTCTGCTCAAAGTTTGGGATGCTGCATTCAGATCAGGTGACAGGCTGGCCTATAGCAGAGCCCGGAAAGAACTAAAGAAGGGCATCTGGCTGGCCAAACGCAGGTACAAACAGCGCATTGAGGGGCACTTCATGAATAACAACAGACAGAGTATGTGGAGAGGCATCAAAACAATAAAAGACTATAGAGGCAACAACCAGCAGGTCAGGCATGATCCCACCCTCCCTGACACTCTGAATAGTTTCTTTGCACACTTCGATACACCTGGCAGCAGAGGAACTGTACATCTCCCTCATCTCGAGAAACAACACCAGTCTCTCTTCCTGCAGCTACAGCAGGGGCCAGAGAAAGGAGGAGGTTTAACAAACTCAGAGTTCAAACCAGGACTCTGAGTTGACTTACACAGAGTTGGAAAACTTGGAGTTTTCGGTTTCAGAACAGCTGAAAAGAGTTGGTTTAATCAACTCTGAGTAGTTCAGTCAGTAATTATGAAGTGCTTTGAGAGGATCATTCTAAAGCACATCAAGTACGTCGTCCCTGTTGGTCTGGACAGCCATCAGTTCGCCTACAGAGAGAACCGCTCAACAGAGGATGCTGTCTCAATAGCATTACACACAGCCCTGTCCCACCTGGAGCATCCTAACACTTATGTCAGGATGCCATTTGTTGACTTCAGTTCGGCATTTAATACTGTAATCCCACACAAACTGGCACTGAAACTGCACAATCTGGGAATGCCTGCAATGATGTGTCAGGTCCGCTCGGCACGACCTGCCTCTCTTTTGTCTTTCTCCCTCCTGCTCTCTCTTTTTTATGGAATCAACGCCTCAGCTGTGTCGCTTGCTGTAATTAGTGACTCGGGGGTTGTCGCGCACAGCTGAGGTGCGTTATTGTAATGACTTCCCTACCTTATTTAAACCCCTGGGAGACGCTCCGTCCTCGCCGGCGCATTACCTAACTTACACTATGTTAGACACGGACATTTTGAGGTAGTATGTGACAGTTTGAGTGAACAGCGAGATTTTTGTTTTTCTTGTTTTTGTGTTAGATAGGGCCACTCATGTTGATGAACTTTCCTAGCCATGTGTATCTGACGGCGATGCCGTGATTACCTCTGGTGAACTTTCCTAGCCATGTGTATCTGACGGTGATTTTCCCAGCCATAGGTACCGGACAATTCCGGACAGCTAGCGCTACAGCGAGCACTACACTAGCTCTGTTCTTCTCGTTCCTGTGTCCCTCCTGTCATCTCACCTGTCGCCGTTCTCCTGTCTTCTCGCCTGCCTTGTCATGTCCCTCTACTCTCCTGTTTCCTCCTCTTACTCATCTGCTCATCCTAGTCTCCTCAGCCACCCCTGCCCTACCTGGGTTATTGTACTATACGCTGATTCTGTTACCTTGGTTGTGTGTTTTTTTCCCATTAAACCTCCATTTTTCTACTAGCACCTGGGTCTGCAAATTTGAGTCCTACCTCAGTTCTCCCTCACCCTCCTGGTGAGGGGGACTAAACCTTAACATGATGTGTCAATGGATTAAGGGCTTCCTCACTAACAGGCCTCAAGTGGTGAGAATCGGAAGGTGCACATCATCCACATTGGTCCTGAACACAGGCACACCACAGGGCTGTGTGCTCAGCCCAGTTCTCTTCACTCTGTTTACCCATGACTGTTATGCCATTCACCCTACATACACAGTAGTAAAGTTCGCAGACGACACCACCGTAGTGGGTCTCATCTCAGACAATGATGAGACTCACTACAGAGAGGAGGTCCAGCACCTGACAAGGTGGTGTTCAGATAACAATCTTGTCCTGAACACCAACAAGACTAAAGAAGTCATTGTGGATTTATAGGAGGTCCAGGAAGACAAAATATGTTCCTCTTCTCATACACGGGGAGGTGGTGGAGCAAGTGGATAACATCAAGTTCCTGGGCATCCACATCACATCTGACCTGACCTGGTCTCTGAATACATCCCACCTGGTGAAGAAAGCCCAGCAAAGGCTTTTCTTCCTCAGGAAGCTGAAACGTGCTAGTCTCTCCTTTCAGTTGCTCACAAACTTCTAGAGTGAAAGTAGAGAGCATCCTCTGTCTCAGTGCGACAGTGTGGTACAGGAGCTGCACTGCACAGGACAGAAAGGACTTGACCCAGGTGGTGAGAACAGTTCAGGGCATCATAGGGAGTCCTCTTCTGGATCTGGACTCGCTATACACGGACCGGATCCAGAGGAGGGCCGGACGGATTGCTACAGACCCCACCCACCCAGGCAACAGTCTGTTTGTGCCTTTTCCCTCCAGGAAAAGGTACAGGAATATAAAGACTAAAACAAACAGACTGAGACACAGCTTCTTCCCCAGAGCTGTGAAATCAATCACCCCCTCCAACCCCTAGTCACACACACAACCTCCCCCCTATGGACACACACAGAACACTGGACCCCACACCTCTTCCTAAAGACTGAGATTTGCACTGAGCTGCACCTCATAATGTTACTACACTCTTGCTGCTGACCTGATTAAGTCCCATACATCCCTTTTTATTTGTTCATATTTTTATATTGACTTATACAATTTTGTGTTGTGTAAATAATATGTCTGTCTTTTAAGCCGAGAGCTGATGGAAAAAATTTCATTGTGCTATGCATAATGACAATAAAGATTCTTGACTTGACTTGACTTGACTTGATTAGTTACAGTGGTATAGGCTGTAAACTTCTTGACAATGTTGTACACAGTGGACACGGGAAGAGCAAGATCTCTGGAGATGGACTTATAGCCTTGAGATTGTTCGTGCTTTTCCACTATCGTGCTTCTCAAATGCTCAGTGTGGTCCACATGACACAAAGGTTGAATGAACTTTTCTTCATTCTAACTGGTTGCAAGTGAGATTTTTATATTGCCTGCACCTGTTGATTGCTACAGGTACATTTCATTACAAATTAAAGGAGCATCACATACTTGAAATACAAACTATTTTTGATGATTTTGAAAAGATGTCAATAATTCTGTCCAGTCCATTTTTGGACTTTTGTGTGGAATGTATCAGATTTAGCTTTTTTCCCTCAGTTTTATGTGTTGTTCCAATGCAAACAAACAAACAAAAAACATGAAAATACCAAAGAATTTGTGATTGCAACAATTTTCTGGGAGAAGTGGTGTGTTATCTAATAGAAATGCAGTGGATACAATATTTTTGGCCATGACTGTACATACCTCACATTTTGGGACCGTTACTGCATTGTTGTCTGTGTGTGTTATCTTAAATAATTAAATGGCAAGTATTATCCATTACTGTTAAAATATATTGCTTTTGCTCTCACTCTCTCTCTCTCTCTCTGGTTTCCTCATATCTCGATGTAGTCATGACTTTATTGGAGAGTTCAGCACCAGCTACAGAGAGCTATCCGGAGGGCAGAGCCAGTTCAATGTCTATGAGGTGAGATCATGTGTACTTCTAGATGCATGCTTATACAGTGCCTTGCGAAAGTATTCGGCCCCCTTGAACTTTGCGACCTTTTGCCACATTTCAGGCTTCAAACATAAAGATATAAAACTGTAATTTTTTGCGAAGAATCAACAACAAGTGGGACACAATCATGAAGTGGAACGAAATTTATTGGATATGTCAAACTTTTTTAACAAATAAAAAACTGAAAAATTGGGCGTGCAAAATTATTCAGCCCCCTTAAGTTAATACTTTGTAGCGCCACCTTTTGCTGCGATTACAGCTGTAAGTCACTTGGGGTATGTCTCTATCAGTTTTGCACATCGAGAGACGGAAATTTTTGCCCATTCCTCCTTGCAAAACAGCTCGAGCTCAGTGAGGTTGGATAGAGAGCGTTTGTGAACAGCAGTTTTCAGTTCTTTCCACAGATTCTCGATTGGATTCAGGTCTGGACTTTGACTTGGCCATTCTAACACCTGGATATGTTTATTTGTGAACCATTCCATTGTAGATTTTGCTTTATGTTTTGGATCATTGTCTTGTTGGAAGACAAATCTCCGTCCCAGTCTCAGGTCTTTTGCAGACTCCATCAGGTTTCCTTCCAAAATGGTCCTGTATTTGGCTCCATCCATCTTCCCATCAATTTGAACCATCTTCCCTGTCCCTGCTGAAGAAAAGCAGGCCCAAACCATGATGCTACCACCACCATGTTTGACAGTGGGGATGGTGTGTTCAGGGTGATGAGCTGTGTTGCTTTTACGCCAAACATAACGTTTTGCATTGTTGCCAAAAAGTTCGATTTTGGTTTCATCTGACCAGAGCACCTTCTTCCACATGTTTGGTGCGTCTCCCAGGTGGCTTGTGGCAAACTTTAAACAACACTTTTTATGGATATCTTTAAGAAATGGCTTTCTTCTTGCCACTCTTCCATAAAGGCCAGATTTGTGCAGTATACGACTGATTGTTGTCCTATGGATTATTGCTTGCACAGTGCTCCTTGGGATGTTTAAAGCTTGGGAAATCTTTTTGTATCCAAATCCGGCGTTAAACTTCTCCACAACAGTATCTCGGACCTGCCTGGTGTGTTCCTGGTGTGTTCCTTGTTCTTCATGATGCTCTTTGCGCTTTAAACGGACCTCTGAGACTCTCACAGTGCAGGTGCATTTATACGGAGACTTGATTACACACAGGTGGGTTCTATTTATCATCATTAGTCATTTAGGTCAACATTGGATCATTCAGAGATCCTCACTGAACTTCTGGAGAGAGTTTGCTGCACTGAAAGTAAAGGGGCTGAATAATTTTGCACGCCCAATTTTTCAGTTTTTTATTTGTTAAAAAAGTTTGAAATATCCAATAAATTTCGTTCCCACTTGTTGTTGATTCTTCACAAAAAATTACAGTTTTATATCTTTATGTTTGAAGCCTGAAATGTGGCAAAAGGTCGCAAAGTTCAAGGGGGCCGAATACTTTCGCAAGGCACTGTATGTACATGTGTTACCATGTTGAATGCAAAGTTCCTATCCAAACTACTAATAAATATTTTCCACTGAAGTTACATCATAGTAAAACTAGAATGCAGATTCATTTCTTTGGTTGATACATGTATTTCCAGTATTTATTATGCTAGTCTATAGTATACTTTTCTTTGTGGAGAATCATCACTGATTGAGTTCACAGGGGCTCTATCTCCAATAAAGAAAGTCACTTTCAGCTTTTCCTGTTTAGGGGTCCCCACAGCAAATCGTCACACTGATGACTTGCATGTTGCTATTTGGCACGTGTTTTATGCCGGACGCCCTTTTGAACGCAACCCTGATTAGAACCCGGGGCGCAGCGGCAAGAGTGCTGCGCCTTAACCACTAGCCTACCAGGGACGGCTTGACTCTATCTCCAATACTTTGTTAAAATAAAGTTTTAAAACAAACATTTTAAACTCACGTGTGGCAGGAACAGTGTTCATCCCACTCTACTTCTTTTCTCTCACATACACACTGACAGTTATGATTGATAACTAGTTTATCTTCTCCCAGGAAGAATTTACACTTCTTGATTAACACAGGACCACACATGGAGGAGAGCACACAGAGGACTGTCATTTTAATCAGATGGTGTTTGCCTAATAGTACTCAGATGTACACATGCACAAAATCACACTTGCATACAGGCAGATTGGAACAGCAAGCAGGTACACAGATGTGTAGATACACAGAAAAATGCACACAAAGTAATTTTGTGATTTCTGGCCTGTTTCTTGACCCCTGTTTTTTCTTGACTTGAAGCTGGCAGTTAGAGAGAGGGTGGTTTTGCATTACTAAAGGCACTTGGTATGCCCGAGTATGTTTGTGTTACAAGCACATTTCAGTGACTGTACCCCACCTTCAGAGGTAAATACAGTGCGTCCTTGTGTGCACTTAGTACAAGGTGAACCAAGGAGAAAAGCATAAATCCACACATGCATGTTGTTTCCCCGAGGCCCTCTCTTTCTGTTAACCTTGGCACAGTTTAATTAGACCATAACTTTGATTTAACAGGCCAAATCCAGTTTCTGCACAGTCACTATCTTAATATTTGAACTGGATCATGTTTGTGAAAGTGGACATATATAGTGATGAACCCACAGAGAATTATTACCAGCCCCTGCGGCTTTATGGAGCATCAGTGGTCTTTCAGATCACTGAACTTCCAGACCTCATCTTTTTATTCACTCTCACCTCCCTCATCAGCATCAGTTCCAGCAACAGCAGACAGCAGTTTCCTGAGGAAATTAACTCTACTCTGCTAAGCACCAAACTGCAAACAACATTAACTTTGAAACACTGCAGAATGTTTAGCAGCTAAAGAGTTAGATATGTCACTTAGGATTTGGTAAAGACCAAAAGCAGAGGTAAAAGTGAGTGAATGTTGGACTTAAATTCACCAGGTAATTAGGGACAAGGTTCCAAATGAGTGCTAATGATCCCCCCTCCCAAATCTACTTTTGCAGGTTTTACAACATTCCATGTCTATTTTTTATATCCATTTTAATAAAGCACATATAGTTTGAACTGACAGATGAATGAATGAGTTGATGCTGGAGTTATGAGAAAAAAATCCTTTTTCTTTTTAGGTGGTAAATCCAAAGAAAAAAGGAAAGAAGAAAAAATACCTCAACTCTGGAACGGTAAGGCATCAAATCTGCAGTGTTCGGGAAGGTACTTAAAAAATGTAACTTTGCAAACTATCAATTACTTCACACTGGAAGAAGTTAAACTACAGCAAAGCTACACTAGGGAGAACTGTAGTTTGGTAAACTAAAGTAACTTAAAGTAGTTCAAACTACTTTGTAAAACAACAATAAAACTGACAATGTACATGTGATACAAAACTATAACATAATAAAAGAAAACACATACCAACAAAAAATGACACTCATTTGAGTTAATTTACCTGAGACAAAAACCTTGTCCTAAACAAAACAATATGATCTGGGCTTGTCACAATGATATTATATATTTCTTGTAAGCCAATTATATAAGTGCACCCTGACTTTAGCACTGGTCTAAAAAATATAAGCCTGTTGTGTTACTAGTCAGTTTTGCAACATCTTGAAATGACACCTTTTAGACCATATGAACAGCTTGAACACTTGTCTAAATAATCTGTTAATACTACTTCTCAGAGCAGAATCCCTTGTTTATACAGCACATAGGTAGTCTCTCTAAGTTCTTATCCAAAAGGCACTTAGAGATAGGGAAACAATGGTAAAATAAAAATAAAAAATCATTCATTTCCTTTTATGGCCCAGAATTATTTGTAATTGTGTGGATGCTGTAAAGCATCCATACTATGCTCTCCTGTTCTTTATTGTGTGGATGCGTTATCCTGTTCTTTATTATTCTGGTTTCTACCACTGTTCTTCGGCACCTAACTCCTTCCACATACTTTCACCTAGAAGGGCCATTGAGGTATCAAACTGTTTATCTTCTTAAGGACATGTGTGCTTGTATACAACTTTTTTATAACTTTTATACTTTTTAAGATATTCAGCTTTTTTTACAGAAATTTCCCCATTGGAAATGAATGGGGCAAAGTCTGAAGCTTAATATCCCCGGCATACCTTGGGCTAGAAACGCCATTTCAACTTTATTCAACTCGTGAGACGTTCAGCTACCAATGGTGCAAAAATCATCTTGATATCTTTTATGGGTTTTTTTTTATAATCGACATTTATATTTTGTCTATTTGTCCATAGACAACAAATGGGCCAATACTCTGCAATGCCATTGGCTGCCTGTGTGTCACGTGACTCCCCGGTCTAGCAGCTCTCGCTTGCTTTTACTCTTCCTCTTGCCGCTTTTGTGCTCCTATTATGCCATTCTTAAGCTTTATACACATATAATAGATGACAATCGTAGAGAAAATTGTCACGAATTCAGCTGTCAGTGTTACTGAGATGGGATGAATGGTATTTGCGTAAGTCGCACATTCCAGGCATACTGTCTCACTGCTCCATAGACTTACGGTCAGTACAGAAGATCCGCTGAAACAAAACGTCGGCGAAAAATGAATGGCGAAATTCTGCTTCAGCATACTTTCAGCTATTTCAGGTATCAGAATGTTCAGCTCTTCAAGGACATTCATGCTTCTATTCAGAATGTTTCTAAACTTCATACTTTTGAAATATGTAGCTTTATTTTGACAGTTTTGCACCATTCAAATGAATGAAAAAATTCTCCTTCAGCATGCTTTCAGCTATTTCAGGTATCAACATGTTCAGCTCTTCAAGGACATTCATGCTTCTATTCAGAATGTTTCTAAACTTCATACTTTTGAAATATGTAGCTTTATTTTGACAGTTTTGCACCATTCAAATGAATGAAAAAATTCTCCTTCAGCATGCTTTCAGCTATTTCAGGTATCAACATGTTCAGCTCTTCAAGGACATTCATGCTTCTATTCAGAATGTTTCTAAACTTCATACTTTTGAAATATGTAGCTTTATTTTGAAAGTTTTGCACCTTTCAAATGAATAGGACAATTCTACTTCAGCATACTTTCAGCTAGCAAAACCATTCAGGTGTCAAAGTCTTCAGCATATTCAGGGTGATCTTTCAGCAATTCGCATCCACACACGCATTTTCGACAGGAAATGCAGTTTTCTAGTTTATTATTATTATTCTGGGATCTTCCCTCCTTTTTCGGCACTTAATAAGTCCAGCATACTTTCAGCTATACAGGCCATTGAGGTCTTGATCTGTTCAACTCTTCAAGGGCATT